CAGCCCTTTCCCCGTGGCTGGGAGTGGGAGGGAGGAGGAGGCGGAGTTAGGGCGGGGAAGGGGCGGAATTGGGGCAGGGCTAGGGGTGGGGAAATGGGCGGGGCCAGGGTCCGTGGAGGGTCTTCTTTTTTTATTCATTAGATATGGTAACCCTAGGACCCACAGATCTTGAAAGGTGTGTTGGGGGGGGGGCAGTGATCACTGTAGCAGTGGAGATATGTTGCAGAAAAAGGTACTGAGCTTGAGGACAGCTGGATGCAAGTTGGGGCTTGCCTCCCCAGTAATCTGTAGACTTGCCATAGAGGCAAGAGAACTACCCTCCTCCCCAATCCCACTCTCCTATGTTGGTCAGGGTACCTTGGCCCACCAGATGGTAGCTTGGAGACAGACCTCCCTGAACTTATCCACAAAGCCCCTACTCTGATCATACTTACTTAAGTCCCCTGAGATCCTCACTTTAACTATGGCTTTAGTTGACTTGCATAAAAATTCCTATTTATTATTTCATTTTGCCTTAACCTCCATCTACTGATCTGTCTGTATTTTTCTATCCTTAGCCGCTCTCAGGCTATGTCTCTTTTTGAATGTCTGGAAAGTGCATAGCTCATTAAGGATGCTCCTATAAAAATAATTTGTTCTGTGACAAAATATTTCCATAAAACTAAAGCCCTTAAAATATCAGACACACAAGTATTCATTCAGGCCGAGTGGCGTAAACACCGCTATATTTTGCAAAGAATTTGATTCTCTGGCCAAATTAATCCATTGGCTGAAGCCAGAGTATATCGGTCCGTGCACTAACAATGATCATTTACGCCAGTGCCAAGAGAATATGAAACATTATCAAATCCAGACAGTAGCAGTAACATCCACTTTGCACATCGGGGAAGTAACATCCACATTTGGAAATGATGGCACTGGGGGAAGGCTCTGGAAAATCAGGCCCAGAGTGTTTAAACAAATTGCTACATTGCTTGAGTGGGGGAGCTAAGGGCCTTTTAAAGGATGTCCATATGTGGCGCCAAAGTCTGAATCTGTTACTCAAGTTGAATATACCTTACTCGCTGTGTAGTCCGAATGAAGTCAGTGAGCCAGATCCACCAGTAACATCCATCAGCCACACAGTTGCCTTAAAGGAACCGCCGAGGATTAGCCAGTAGTGCAGAGCTGACTCTTTCTCTCCTCCTACCTCCAGGTATGGGACAGTTAAGGCCAAGGAGGAATTGGGGCCGAATGCCCTTATTCTGTTTTAAACTACGCTGGGGGCCATTTCAGCCACTAGCCTGGACTGGCTTGGGAAAGCAAAAAGGTGATTCACAAGTGAATATAAGCTCTTCACTGCTGGAGATCTACTCCACAACACTCTGAGAAGTAAGGTGCTATTACACCAGAGTAAGGCTATCAGAATCTGTCTCTATGTGATCACCCAGAACGATGGTTACAGTTGTTCAATAGTTCCTCTTCACTGTGGAATCCAATGAGCCAGATTCTTAGCTGGTGTAAAATGGCCTCAGTGGAACTATGCTGATTTTCACCAGCTGATAGTCTGACCCATACCAAATAAGTGGCCTTAAAAGTATTGTGCTATCATGCTATATTTATTTAAACATTGCAAACTATTTAATACATCATGAATCAGTCTCTGAAATATGCAACAAAGAGTCCTGTGGCACCTGATAGACCAACAGCTGTATTGGAGCATAAGCTTTCGTGGGTGAATACCCACTTCGTCAGACACATGTGGTGGGTATTCACCCACGAAAGCTTATGCTCCAATACATCTGTTAGTCTATAAGGTGCCACAGGACTCTTTGGTGCTTTTTACAGATCCAGACTGACACGGCTACCCCCTTGATCTCTGAAATATGAAATTAGTGATTTGAAGTAATACTCCTACTGATAAAAATAGTCATTTGTCCACACTATGATGTGAAGCACTACAGCTTATTACAAGAAAATACTGTGGTATACTACCAAACATTTTTTTGTTTTATAATGGCTGATATGCCTACTAAAGCCTAATGAACTCTACTAATACTAACTTTATTTTGTTTACCTGCGTAGCACAGTACGATGATGTGAGTGTGCAAACCAATAGTTGTTTTTTTTACAGAGAAAATTCAGCATGCTCCATTTCATAACTTTGTGAGAACAAGATTAATATTCAGCATTGCTTACAGGAATGTTTTCAGTGGATTGTCATATATGCCATTTACTAACCATTCACCTGAAGGATGTGGGTCTGATATAACTCTTCATAGCCGTAGGCATGACAGGTGTAATTGCCCATGTGAATAGTTGTTACCTTGGTGATGTAGAGGGAATCATCTTCTCCAAAATCCTATAGGTAACCAAAGACAAGAAAGAGGCCTTATTTAGCAAACTTATTTTAAACATCACACAAAACTAGGCTATCTTTTTCAGCTTGTTTTGATAGGCTCTCAACTTGGCAACACAGCTTGAATTTTCAGTAGTAAGTTTTTGGAATTCATAAATCAGCATGTGGGAGGAAATGAGTGACAATTTAAGAGTAAGGTGATGCAACTAAAGTAATTCAATTGAGTGTGAACTTTTTGTTCGGTGTTAAAAAGATGCTTGTAAAAAGATGACAATCTCCAGCCATCTATCAGTGATTTATAGTGGAATTATTTTCTGTATCGTTTATTTTTTAAATATTCTCTAATAAAATTTAAATCTGTCTGCTAAGATTATAGAGCAAGCTCTAACTTCTGGGTGAGTTAAAGACTGTTTGGATCTATGCTGATTGCTAACACAGTGCATCTTGACCTAGAGTCTTGATGAGAAAGAACTGAAACTATTTGTCAGTTATCTATAAAACACCTTATGTCAAAAGATTTTAAAAACAACTTAGTTAGGAGTTAAGGAGAAAAAGAGCATTTCTTTCAAAAATGTTTTGATTTTTTAAAATTGGTTATGTGCCTTTTTCCCTAGCTCTCATCTGCAGTAGCTTTACTTATATTTTCTCCATGTGTAAGTTAAAATGAAAGTTATTCCAGAGAATTCTCATGACTTTGTTGCTAGGTTTGGGTATCTGGATATTTTGCCCTTGTGCTCTGCTTATCAAGTTATTGCAAGTGATCCCAAACAGGACTATACTGGGGAATAATATACACAGTAGCTTCTTTTCTCTTTTCATTAGCATTCAGACTTCTGCTGCTCTAAAATGTTTATACTTTTATGCAAAACCCAGAAGGAAACACTTAAAAAACATAGTTAATTAGCCCAAAGAATGATTTTTCCTTAATTAGCTCAAAGCATGAAGCATGCTAAATGAAATCCTTTGCAGACTTTCACTGAAGAAGTACAGTATAATTTCATGCGATGTAATAAGAGGAATACAAAATAAATACAACAGGATGAATAATAAACAGGCATGCAAAATTACTCCACTGGTCAAAACCCAAGAACGTTTGACCAAACTCCAAGTGTGGATGGAGGAAGGAAAGCCGCATATGCAATATGCACTGGGAAAATCCCTACAGGAAGTTTTATTGGTTATGCCATCCTTTTTAAATACACCCTTTCAGAATAAAATGCAATCCATCTGGTTTGTTTGATATGATCTTGAAAACATACACAATTTAGTTATGGGGCCAAATTCTGAGTTACATGCATCAAACCCTCATAAGTGAGAATGGTGGAAATCTGTGTAGGCCAAAATGTGTGTCTTTGTTCAGGACAAGTAGAGAGAGTTTCCATGGGGATGAGACAGATATATCCAATGCTGCCCCCAATCCACATGCCTAGAGATGCTGAGGGACGCTAAGGACGTGCAGTCAGCAGACTTTACCCCTGAGCAAGCTCTTTATCCAGATCTTTCCAGCCACAGTTATTGGGCAGGAGGGCTCTATCATCTCCCACTGCAGGACTGCCAACCCCAAGTGTTTCAAAAATTGAGTCAGGCCCTCCCACCTTCCTCCAATCATGAGACTGGTTTTAAAATAACGAGATTTATGTTGTCTTCTGGTTTATGTGTCCTTTTTTTTTGTCTTCTAGTTTCTGAGTCACTAAGGTTCCCTTGCTTCATGTTATAAAAAATTTTCTCTGCAACCATGAGGGTTAGAAACTGACTTTATTAAAATATGGAAGCTGAGATTCTCATTCAATCTCTTGATTCCAGCAGCTGGGGCTTAAAGAAAAACATTGCTAACTGACTCTTTTTAATCTCTGTCCCTGAACACCAGGCATCAATGAGGGTATACTATCAATCCAGGGCAGACCATGAGTGGGTAGAAAAGGTGGCCCTGGAGCTCTGTTAAGTTTTGAACATGTTACAAGATGGAATAAGGAAGTGCCTGAAGCATGAGTGGAGCTTGCCAGTGGGACTAACATGCCCCTTCGTCCCAGATCATGTGCTTTGATGCCTACAAACTCACAGGTGGCAGAAATAACTGTTGTTTCTGCTAGCATGAACTTAGCACATAAACTACAGTTTTGCCAATGCACCTTTACGAAGTTGTGTGTTCCCTTCAATTTTTTGTCTGCCTATTCAAACATCTACTCAGAATTTGGCCCTAAGGGTGAAATCCAAGCCCCAGTGAAGTCAATGAGAGTTTTGCCATTGACTGTAATGGTGTCAGAATTTCACCCCAAGTTTAAAACGTATAGCCTGATCTATTGGAAATAGCTAATGGAAAGTTAGGGCCTGAACTTGCAAATGCTACTAAGCATAGTGCATTGATCATTCCCACTGAAATCAATCACTCTTCTATCATAAATCTGTATTCAGGGGAAAATGTCCATCTAACAATATAACCTGCAAGATGCAACTCAGCACATTGTATTGCATGCATGGCCGGCTCTGGCTTTTTTGCCACCCTAGATCCTCCATGAATCTATCTAGCTCCATTTTGAACCCTGTTATAGTATTGGCCTCCACAACACCCTCTGGCAAGGAGTTCCAGAGGTTGACAGTGCATTGCAAGGAAAAAATACTTTCTTGTGTTTGTTTTAAACCTTCTACCTATTAATTTCATTTGGTGGCCCCTTGTTCTTGTATTATGAGAAGGAGTAAATAACACTTCCTTATTTACTTTCTTTAAACCACTCATGATTTTATAGATCTCTATTATATCCCCTCTTAGTCGCCTCTTTTCCAAGCTGAAAAGTCCCAGTTTTATTAATCTCTTCTCATACGGAAGCCGTTCTATACTCCTAATCATTTTTGTTGCCTTTTTCTGAACCTTTTCCAATTCCAATATATCTCTTTTGAGATGGGGCGACCACATCTTCATGCAGTATTCAAGGTGTGGGCGTACCAGGGATTTATATAGAGGCAATATGATATTTTCTGTCTTGTTATCTATCCCTTTCTTGATTCCCAATGTTCTGTTCACTTTTTTGAGTGCTGCTACACATTGAGTGG